TTTTTTATTTATTTTTATTTTTCCAAAAACTGTTGACAGGGGCATTTAACTTGGGTCAGGTAGGATAACTGGACTACTTCGCCATGAATTGGTGAACAACTGCCCTGACCCTGTCATAGCTTGTTACGCTCAGGCTGGTTGTGTAGAAAATTGGATCTGGTTCAGTAAAAATGGTCCATTTTCATCAAAACACTCGTGCTTGCGCAGGCTCTAGGCTAGAGACCACCTCATAAACATCTAGGAAGAAAAGAAATGAAATGATAAAATGAGGACATTTTAAATGTTACAGGCAATAAACTTCAACTTGTTACTCTATGTTGGACAAAATATTGATGGCGATTCATGATTTATCTTTTATTGTCAAATCTAGAATTATAAGGTCTAAAATCTCGAATGATAAAAGAATTGAAATTTTGAGTAGTAGATAAACACCACTATAAGATTAGTAAGAAAGCATGAATAAGAATATTCCTAATGTATTTTTGATTTGATTTGCAAAAATAAAAATAAAGAAATATGTTCCAGCTTTTTCTACCTTGTTATTTATACTTAATTTATGATGCACATTAACTTTTTAATTTAGTTTACACGCATAAGGTCTCTTTGTTCAAGTAATTTATTTATTTATTATATTAGATTTATTGTCCATATGATTGCATTAGTGAATGGTGTCGCAGCGGTATTTGTCTGGGTCGAACAATGAATGGGTATGTCAACTATGGTAGGAGTACAAGATATTCTTGGGCCACTGTGTTGTTTGGAAACTTGAAAAGTTAATGAACTGAACTTTCTTTTTGACTAATAACCCATGAAACAAAGATATTGGTTTTGCTAAAGAATCAAATACTTTCATTTCCTAATTCCTGAATCAATTCACTTAACCAGTTTCAGATTTGCATGCAGCCTTCTGAAGCTCCCTGCTTTGGTGTGCAGTGTGGTTTATTGAGACTGGATGTGTGGCTATTGGAGTATAATGTTACTTAACATGGTTAAAATGAGACGTGCCTTTGTTATCTTTCTGTTAATTAGTTTTTGTTTCAGGAGGAAGGATGCTTCAGGAAAACTCTCATAAAACCCCTTATGGCGGATTTCATGGTTGAGTCAAGTTGTGTACCCTATGAGTTGGGTAACTGGTTGAGGAGAAGTACCTATGAGTTGGATAACTGGTTGGGGATGATTTTTTAAAATAAAGTAAGAGTTTCAACGTTATCCTGGCTGCTGGCCAATGTACCTGAGGATTGTAAGTTCCAGAAGAGAGAACAGAGCTTTGTTCTTGCAAGGGTTGAGTCAATTTCCGTAACAATGTCATATTCCCATCACGATTCAAGCTTCAAATCGAAGAGGTCTAATTACTATTTGTAGGCAGCTAGGCTTCTCCACCTGTAGTATAAAAATATTCAGACTAGGAAAACTTTTGAGTAATTAATTGTGAGGCTAATCCTAGAATACCTTGACTCCTATTAAAAGTGGATACATTGATTTTTGACTTATTTGAGATACAATATGCTATGGATCTTACATATTTCGGGTAGTTATTAAATGACCTAATGACACTTGATGCTTGAGAACATAAGAAATCTGAAGTAAAATAGTTTCAACAGCTTTCTAATAGAATGTACTAGGTGACATGTTGTAAAAGTTAGAACTCGTTCAAGTCAGACTAATTGCAGAGCTCAATATTTACCACACGAATACCCTATAAAGGATTAAAGCCATTAGATTTTCTAGCTCATTAAATCCTTTTACTATTCTCCACCTATATTCAGACTTCTTTTTTTGTTTTGCAGGATGTGATGCCAAACCAGCTTCAGGAAAGGTGGGTCTGATTTTTATCTTCTTCTCCATGATTGTGTTTTGGTAAACATAATGGTGGATCGAATGAACTGTGAAAAAGGATTTATGTACCAGCTAAATTTGTTGGGAAAATTTTGTAGTCTAGTTTTTGGAGAACAAATGGTTTTAAAAAGTGATTAAATTAAAATTTTAAGTCATTAGAAGCTGTGGGTCTTATGGAATGTATTTGGTGGTGGTTGTGGGGCCTACAAAATTTGTGAATCTTTTCAAAGATATTATGTGCTTCATGGAGCTTTGAAATCAGGGACAGACTGAATTGCCTAAAATTTTCTGAATTTTGTTTCAACTCTGCGCAAGACACTCTCTCTCAATAGAAGAAGGGGAAGCTGCAGAAGGCATTGGATGGAAGCAGAGTCATTTACAATGTAGCTTCCTGGGGAGCTACTGCCATTGGGTATGTTTTCTCAAAATAAATATCATATTCTGAGTTTAGGTTGTTCAGATTTAGGTTGAATGACTATTTTAAGTTTGATGTCTGTGCTAAGGTTTAGGAAACTAATGATTATCCTTTTGTTCAGTCAGTAGTATAAAGGTTGCATCTCCTGAAATGCGTTGGTTCTGTATTTCACAATCATATGAAAAAAGAACAAAAGAAAGAATATGAAAATAAAGAGACGAGAATGATAAAATGAGTATTGTTTAAGAGTCACATAATCACTTTTGGCATTCTGCTTGAACCAAATAGTTGTAAGCCTTTAGTTTTGTTACTTTTGACTCTGATAGCGGGAGACGAGGGTTTAGATATTAATTTTTGATGCTTGGGAAATGTTTCAGCAAACCTTTAGGCAAATTATTGTCTAGCTTTTATGTCATGTTTACGTTGAAATGGTTTCAATAGCATATGGTACTTTATTTTCAATATCCTTGGTAAGAGCATGACTCCTTGTTTCTCATTCTGGAGTTCAAACTTGAAAGTCACATGGGAAGTGGTCAGCTCATGTTTTGTGCAGATTTATAAGGGAAGAATGGAAGATGAATCGACATGACTGCTTTTGAAAAGGATAAAAAATAATGAGAACGTGCAAGAAATGCTCAAATCGAATGTGGATAACCTATCTCTCTCTCTACAAGATTGGTGATTTATAGCTCTTACTGAATCAATGTCCTGATATTAATGGGGTTATGCATTCTTTTCTTGTTTAATCTATATATACAGCATTCATTATCAATCTTGTAGATATTTGCTACCATTGCTTCCTTCAATGTTGGATTATTCTACCATCTCGTTAACTTTGTTACCGTTGCTTCTTCAAATGTTGGATTATTTACTGTTCGTTCGTGCTGTGCATGGTCCAGGATTTATCAAAACCCAGCCCTTTTAAGGGCTGCTGGTGCAGCATTCTGGACATCGTGTCATGCTATCTCAAAGCTTTTCTGAGCTAGAAAGAGTCCCGTGCTTGAGTTTTGAAGTTGTTGTTGCCCTTGCTGCCTTGGCTTCTTTCCATATTGCGAAATTGTCCCACAGACTGCTTTCCTTTCGCACACAAGACGATTAATTCCTTGGATGTTAGTTGTTTCTGTACATATTTTCCTAGTCGTCTTCATTGGTATTATCTCGATGTAACATTCAGGAGGGAGCCTTCTTCTGGGCAAGAGCCAGCAATGGCTGTACATACATGTATAGGTGTGATGTTGTGAGGCGTGCACTATCACCAACTAATTATTTCTGAACTAATGTAATTTATTATGGAAGCAACAATGCATATTTTGCAGGATTTATTATTGCAACTGTATATACCTTTTTTTTTTTCTTTCATCCTGTATGATCCGATTTCTCATGGTTAGACGGATTGCAGTTTCATGATGTAAAAGATCTCAATGCCAATTTCAATATTGTTTTTAAAGTCACTGAACTGTAATTTTTTTTTATTTAAATATATTCTGAACTTTCGACTTTGTTTATTATTCGTCACTTAGCATGGTTTGATAATTAATGATTTGATGGCGAAAAATAAAATCGTTAATTTTTTCCAGACTATTTGGAATGGAAAAAAATGTTAAAAATATAGTGATTTTTAGGAATTTAAGTTGAGCAATGCTACAATACAATGGAGAAAATTTACAGAGGTTTTATAGGTGTGGTGGGACAGCATTTTTTTTACAATTTTTTTATTACGTGAGGGTCCCCCTTGGAGCCCATTCCATTGTCAGTATATAAAGCCTGGTAAATAGCTCCTAGGCAAACAAGTTTTTTCCATTTAAATTTAGTGACAGCCGGGAAAACTTTGCGGGTTTGAAATTTTTTTTTTTAAAACTTCGATGGCCGTTGAAAAATAACATTGAAAGCATAGTGTTCATTATGATTTTACTAAAAGTTTCATAAGCTTTACATGTATATTATTGACTAAAATAATGTACAAGTAAAAAAAATATTATTGAACAAAAAGTATTTAATAACATAAATAACATTCTATGGGAGAAAAATCAAATCTAGCACTAGACTATTTCATATATTAAGGTTAGACATTTTGTTAGTCACCGAATTAATAGTATCCAACGTTAGATTGCATTTTTTGTTTAATCACTTAATCTTTGTCTACCTCAATTAATGAATTTGTTGAGCTGGTGAAAATTGATTGGATATACAAGATACTATTAAGTTTGAATTCGTAATTCGATATGGAATATATCATGTCGAGTATTTTCCTTTGTTTTAGTTGATCCAACAATTATGAAAGGGTTGTGTTGGGTTACATTTTTTAGCCTATCAACTCATGAGAACCAATACATTCTTCTTGTAATGTGCTTGTTTATATAGGAAAATAACACTATTAGGCCACAAGTTGGGCCTTGAATCGAAAAGGGCATGAAATCAATATATGGGAAAGTTACAAAGGAAAATTGGCAACTATCACAAATTTTTTTTTAAAGCAAAATATCAACATAACCTTAATGTTTTCTCAAGCTCCATCAGAAGATGATGGGGGCTTGGATACCCCAACTGTATATATAAAAACAAATACCTCGAGATTCTAAACCTGACATTCAAAAAGCAAAAGGATGAAGATACTTTCAATACAAAACTAGCAAATGAAAATCAAGTTAATGCTCGCTAATGCTAGGAAATTCATATATATCCGTACAAGAGGTCGGAGTATTTGTGGAAAGTCAAGGGGGACCATACTCTTGATAATGACGTTGTTCTCATCCTTTAATTATTTAACTGTTGGACTGGAGGATGATTTGGTGTACACTGAGGATTTTGAGTTCTACCAGGAATTTGATTGTTATACAAGTGAGAGGACAGTAAGATCAAAGGTTTCATGTGGAATAAAATTGATGAAAAATTGGTCAAAGTGACAAATTTGGGCGATACGATGTTGTTCCTGGGTGATAATTGTACATTTTCAGCATCTGCTTTGGTTATGTTTGGGTGCAAAGAGAATTCTATATTTTTCACAGATGAGGTTCTTATTTATTTATTTATTTATATTCAGGGAAGATGATTGGGATTGAAGTGTCGCAGTATCGGAGTGTTTGATTTAGAGAGTGGAAGTATTAATCCAATTGACAGTCACAATCGTCATTCCCATGTGTTTTTGCCGCCACCTGCTTGGTTTGTTCTAATGTGTTATGTCGAGGAATTTATGTATTTCCTTTCTGTTTTTCAGGCGAAATATGTTTTACATATATATTCCAGTTAGTCATTTTGGTCTTTTTTCACTTCAGGTTGCTGACTATAATATTATAGCTCCACAACAAACAATAGTTAATATTAATGAAGTAGACAAGATCCCAAAAAAGGTATTCTGAAGCATACTACAGTAAATAAAATATATGATGCATTGATAGTTAAGTGTCTTAAAACCATTTATGTTAATGATCCAATTCATACCATACTGTATTTGCAGTGCAAGCAAGAATCTAGATATTTCTATCAAACTTGGATGCTAAAATGTTCACCGTAAGTAACTGTTTCAAAATTCACAAATGAGCAAAGTCTGGAATGTATATATAATGTAGATGTAAGGCTAAATAATTCGTAACCTCCGACTCAAAATTTTATGAAGAAAAAGAGATACCCTTGCTTTTGATGGGCATATCAGAATGTTCCGAGTTCAAAGATTGTTTTTTTTAAGGATAAAACCGAGCTACCAGAAGAAAAATAACCACCTACTTGAATGACCCTCACATGTGAATAGGCCCACACTGACCCCATATGGAAAAAAAAAAAAAAAAAAAAAAAAAAAAAAAAAAAAAAAAAAAACCTCCCCACCCACCCCCATTGTGAGTGTATCTCAACTAGGGTGTCAAAAATTTTCTGGCACCCTAGCATGATTCTTTTTTGAAGACCCTTTTTGCATAAGACTGATCTTCCAAGTACTCTCTTTTTGCAGATAATGAACATATCCATTAAGTTTTTTCCTCTTCTGTGACATCTTTCATACCATATAAAGCTAAGTAGGAAAACAATATAATATATATAAATAAAGGACACCCCTGATGCTCCGTTTATTAAAATTACTTAACCTATGGAGGAGTAAAGAAAGAACATATCACAAAGAACATGGGAAGTGGGAATAAGAGACCATTCTACACCATAAGAAAATCAACTATTTCATTGAGTATGAATTGCCACAGGTGTGTTTACGTGTTTCTTCATTTGCGTACTACACATTTATCTATTGACAATATCCTTCTTCATTAGAGTGAAAAATTTATGGCTGCAAGTGAATGTAGATGTGACATTGAGGATAAATCGCCACAGGTGTATTTGAGTGTTTCTTATTTTGTTTGTTGATTAGGGATTAAAATCATGAAACAGGTGATGCCAACAAAAATATGACAATGGACCGCTCACTAATATGCAATCACTGATAAAAGCAACAGATCAGTACCTCAAGATCTCTGTCAAAGCACAAGTTAACAAAATTTGAGTTGATCTAGGATCTACTTGAACATAATAAATGAACAACTTGCCTCCTTCCACCAAGGAATCACGGCTTCATCATAGAGATCTTGTTCAGATGTAAGAGCAATGACAGCAAACTGTAAAATCCTTCTCATAGCTTGCAATACACTAGTCAAGTGTTTTTCGATACCCTTACTCATTACTTCGACCAGTAAACCTAAAACCTGTGAAGACATAACAAAGTAACTCATAGGAAAATAACCTGTAATGTAAGTGTTAAAAGAGAAAGTGACTTGGATTAAACTTCTTTTCAGAATCCAGATGTTATTACTATCTATCATAATCTGTCAACCACAATTAAATTTTCCATAACTTGTTCATAACCGCCAAAGAAGTTTATTGTAGCAAAATGTTGAAGATGTATTTAGATGGCATATATTTAGCCTCATCTTATACTTTCAATTTTGATATCAAGTGGTTCAGCATGATATTAGAGTAAGCAAAGATCCAGAATCCACTAGTTAAGGCTTTAATGGTAAAAATGAATCCAGCCTACACATGAGGGAACGTGTCGAAGATATAGTGGAATCATATGCATATGGCCTCATTTAACAGCACAAGCTTTTAGATAAAGTGGTTCAATACGAATTCAACATAATTGCAATACTAGAAAGCAGTGGAAGCGCCTTCCACTTTTAGATTAAAAATTCGCCAACTTTCCTTTGAAAGTAGTCCGAAATTTTTAAATGTGAATTTCACGAAAAAAATGGGGAAGAGGGCAAATCATTCCGAGGTGCTTAAAAGAAAGAAATATCCAACAAGTATAGCAATTAGATACAACTAAACAAATAAATAAAAGAACCAATCCTCAAACATCCTCTGATTTTTATGGTTAATGCAATGGTAAGATGGCGCTCCTTATGAAGAGCTGCATTCAATAAGTAGATGTTTTGTAGTTCCTAACAACATTGAGGTCAGATACACGATAAACAGCGACATTTGATTTAGATAAGATTCATACATTGCTGTTTGTTTCCTGTAACTGAGACATTGCTTAATAAAACATGAGATGAAATAAACAACTAGTGAAAACTGTACCTGTGCTGCAGCACCCCCGAGTTTCTATTTTTCACCCTGATACCAAGACAGACTATATTCCATAATGATGTGAAGTGAATGCAGGCTCACATGCGTAATAAGACACTTGATTGCAGCAGCAGCCATTGAGGGGGACTTTGCTGTCCTGATCATTTGCCAAGCGAACTACCAAATGCAGAAATAGTGTCTCAGAATGTTTATCAAGAGTTACTTTTGGAAATTTCATTATTATAGCATGCAGCATTTCAAGGACGGCTTTTCTCCCAGTTGAATGCTTGTATCTGAAACATACCTAAGTCATAATCATAGATAACTTCACAAAGAACACGTACCAAAAAATACTGAGAAAGCCACAGTTTCTCTTACCTCAAATTTGCAATCAAGAAGCCAATATGTTGTTGCAAGTGCTTCTGTGAAAGACGATAGTCAAGCAAAAATTGTAGTAACATTTGACTGCACTTCTTACGAATTGGTTCCAGATGATTTGTTACCATCAAATTGGCAATCCGCACAACAAGATCATATATCTCAGGAAGTACAAGTTTTCAGTGCACAACTGCCTTCAACAGTGAAAGGGCAACAAATGAGGCATTTTTTTCAAGATCAACAAACAATAGAACTTGGATAAACATCTGCAGCTGATCGGCTGAAAGTGAAATGTTAGTACTACGCAGAAGCAATGTCAACAACTTAATACATGACTCCATTGATTGAGTGTTAGCATTCACTAAATCTTGTGCAATAGCCAACAATGAAGTCTTTATCTTGTCTCCTTGGGATTCAAGGGATGGCAAATGAAGCCTCACTAGTGGAGACAGGCACCTAATTCCAGCAGAAGTAATGCTTTCATATTTTGAACTCAAACATTTACACAATAAACTCACAAAAGAGTCCAGCATCGATAGTAGGTCTTCGTCCTCTTTGTTGAGTTTTAGGTTCTTCATGTAATTCTGCAGCAACCCAAGAGCAAACGCCGTGATTAAATGACTAAATAATCGATTTGAGTTACTTATTCGTCGGCACTCCTCAACCCTATCTAGTTTGCTTGCCTTTGGAACATAGCTATTTTCATATTCATTATACTCGTTATTAATTCCATCTTCAATGAGGCCATACGTAAAGATAATGAGTTCAGTCTGCTTCACAGATGGATTGCGTTCAATGCCAGCAGCTATGTGATTTAACACTTTCTGCGTAAGATGCTTCTGCAGATGAACCGAACTGTAACAGGTGAAAGTAGTTTCAGAACATCGGTCTTGAATGTGATACTTTGGGCAACTAATTCCAGAGTTTCATAAGACTTTTGCTTTCTAGTCTCCTTCATTTTTGTAGCAATTTTCCCCACTTCTCTCTCTTCGGAAACATCTCCAAGTATATCATTCTCTATTATAGATAGAAGATCTTCCAAACAGTAGTCCAGCTTTCCACAAACCGGATAGAGAAGGAACTTTGACAATATAAAATTGAGAGTGTAGCCTAGTACATGCAATTCATATCCTCTTTTCAAGATGCCCTTCAAGACATTGACTATAAATTGCAAGTACTCCAACCCAAGTTCCTTTAAACAAGCAGCCAATGCAGATCTAGACTCATCACGAACACTTTCCAAGCGGTCCTTCAGAAAATTAGAAATGCGAGGAATTATATTTGGAAGCTGTGCATCCATAATTTCACCAAGTAGCAATTTTAGAAGCTTGAGTGCGACTAGACTGATGTTGCCATTAACATTTTCAGAATAAAAAATCAACAAATTTTGAATTTTTGGGAGTAAATGCTTCTGCAGGCACGTCTGTATGATAGGAAGTTCGGCAAAGCTAGTACATTTTCTCAATGTTATTGAAGAAGTCATTTCAATGGTGTATGGATCCGGATCATCACACGCAGAATCTTTGACTTCACAAACAGAAGGAACTTCCGAGAAATGGAATTGGACTAGGATAGCAGTAATTAGCCGCAATAATAGCTTTTGTTGTCTGGTTTTGATGTCATCTCTTTGAAGCATTTGTTTAGCAAAGCATAATATTGTTTCCACTTCATGCAACCAGAAACTGATGCGAGGGAATCAATACATGCACTTTTCACATGTTCATCTTTTCCATTTTGTACATCCAACGACATATTGAAAAGAAGCAAAACGAATACTTTATTGGCAATAACCAGGACAGTCATATGAGCATTATGAGCATAAGTAATGCCGCAGAAAGAAAATGGTTCCAGAAGGAAACTGAAATCATTACCTCAGACAGAATTCCCCCATAGGTGTCATCAACTGAACCTTCTAGCCAATTTCCTCTGTCTTGGGCTCGAACTTCTGTCCAGCGTGCGTGAATTGGAGCATGTCCCTCCATGAGAATGCCAGAACCTTTGTCTTCGAAACCTTTTGCAATCCTGTCTTTGGATGAATAAGTTTTGCTACAAATTTCTGAGTTTCCTCTAAAGACTGTAGAATTTTGGCCATATTTTGGGTAAGGTATTCCACAGATTTTTCCATTTCGGCTAATATTTGCACCTCTGACCTCACTTTTTCCATATCTTCCACCTTACTCTCGGTCTTCTTTTGTGCCATCAGGACGAACACGCTTTGCTACCAATTTGATAGGACTCCACAGGAAGAAAATAGTAACAGAGAATTGTTATTGAGTTTAGTATAGAATTACAGAGAAATGCACAGCACAAGTATACTAAACTAGACTCTCCAATACTCTTCTATTGCCTGCCCATCACTATAGTTTCCCCCTCTATTTATAGATAACTGCTTGCCCTTCCATTCTCCACAGAATTTTATTGTTGCACATTCTTCTCAATTCTTCCAGGCTCTTCTAGAATTGGGGGCCTATCATATATACTCAATGTGGGTTCCACGACTTCCTTCTTTGGATCATTTAAAACAAGCTATTGCAACCTCTACATTTTAAAGAATGTAGACATCATGAATTCATTCTACAGAATTCAAGCAAGCTGTTCTCACATGAATGAATACATTTGACCTAAATACCATGTAGAGCAATGTTTGCCAATATATTGGGAACAACACCAAGAACAATGTGCAAGATTGATAGCATTCGAATCATTGGTACAAATAAAATAGGATCCATGAGCTAGAATTTTAATCAACAAAAGATATCTTCTGTATATTAAAAACACGTATGGAAAATGCGATTGAGTTCTAACACATTTTCTATTTTGTTTATTTGTATTTTCGTTTAGCATCTTTGTGTTGCCTTTTTCTTTTAACCGCATTTTTTATAAGTACATTTTTGAACGATTTTTCGTCGACTAATTATAATAATAATGTTCCATGTTAGCATTTTTATTTGTCAAATCAGTGAAGCAGTCGAATTTTTTTTCTGGTGAGATATTTAGTGATGGATGTGATAAAGTTTTGATAAGTTTGTGATCATTCAAAAAAACTTTTATTGTTTGATGCCCAATAGAAAATATTGTGCAAGGTTTTAACAGCAATTTGCATTTTTAACCCTAAGAAGGCAAGGTGCATATATATATATAATCAAAAAAAGAGAAAATTCTGGAATGTCTAGATTTTTGTATATTTACTGACCTTACTTTATCCCTATTATCCATCATACGATAAATGAATAGATTGGTCTGAACTCATTTCATGGAGCATGTTGGTTTAATTGGAAATACTAAAAGAGGATAAACTTTCAGCGTTAATTTAATTTGAATATTATTTAATTTAATTTAATTATAGAACCATAACAAAGTAACTCATAGGAAAATAACCTGTAATATAAGTGTTAAAAGATAAAGTGACATGAATTAAACTTCTTTTTAGAGCCCAGATTTTATTACTATCTATCATAATTCAATCAAGAAATAGGGAGAACGACAAAGAATTAATGTTAAACTTCAACAATTCAATCAAGAAATAGGGAGAACATTAATGCTAAACTTTAACAATTCAATCAAGAAACAAGGAAAAAACAAAGAATTAATGCTAAATCCTCAAAACTGATCCTCATCAAAAAAGAACAATGAACAGTTAATTTTTGCATCAGTCAACGTTCAAAGCTAAAACCTAATTCTGTCGAAGACTATGATATCGTGTCATGCCTTAAGACTCTAAATTCACAACGGCATCATTAAAATCCTCGCCGGGGAGTTGAATTTCGAAGAAACTGAAGCACGATTCAAAACTTCATCTCTTAGCCCGGTCATTGTCTCCTCAAACGCTCCTAGTTCACGCAACTCCATTTTTTCCAAATTTTCATTCTCCCACCAAAATTCCCTCTCACTTTTACCCACAACCACCAGATTGTGGGAAACACGATTTGAAATTTTATCTCTTAGCCCGGTCAGTATCTCCTCAAACGCTCCGAGTTCAGGCAACTCCATTTTTTCCGTGTTTTCATTCTCCCACCAAAATTCCCTCTCACTTTTACCCCTCCCTTCAACCACCGGATTGGGGGCATCGTCAAGAAACTGGCATCGATTCAAAATGGCTTCCACAGAGGGTTCGCCAAAAGTGAAAAACTTGTTACCTGGAGATTGAATGAGGATTGCTACATCTGTGCCGCACAATATACGCGTTTCCGCGGCCTTCTTGAAAAGACCCTTCCGCCTCTTGGAGAAAGAAACTTGTAAACTTGTTTTCTTGTCGATCTTTTGGATTTCTATCTTCCGCCTACCTTTCGTTTTCTTCTCCGGAACGCCGTTAGACACTGTCATGGCTGAAAAGGGAGAAAATATCTGATTGATCTCTTGCTTCGATGATAGGAACGAGTTCAACAGAGAGTTCTAAAGGAGGGGACGAGAGGCGGAGGTTCTGATTTTGATTTAACTGTACGCTAATCTCGAAATTCTTAACGTTAATAGTGCGTAATGTTCCGATTCTAATTTTGAAGTTAACGGTAATTATTCAGAGGAGAAATTGCAACAGCGGTCCCTAACATTTTCAATTTTTGCAGAAAAACCCTTACCTTTATTTTGTACCAGCAAAGATCCCTACCTTTCATAAATATGCACATGAGGTCTATTTAGGCTCAAACCGTTTAAAACATCATCAGTTGACCGGGAAAATTCCTTGAACTATATGCCACCGCGATAATTTTATTGGATGTGAATACTTTTTTGGACAGTATTTTTGAATTATTTTTTGGACGATTTTATTGGATGTTGATATTTTAATTTTTTAGGTCAATTGACAGTGTTTTGAACGGTTTCGTCCAGATGGATTTTAGGTACATATTTATAAAAGGTTACGAACCTCCGCTGACATAAAATGAAGATCAGGATAAAGTATGAAAATATTGAAAAGGTTATGAACCTTGCTGCAATTTTCCCTTATTTAAACGTAATAAAGCTTGAATTACCAGTTTTTATTGGGTTCCAAGTTCCTTATTTTTTAAAGAGAAATAGAATATTTAATGGGAACTTCAAGAAGAAAAAAATAAAAAAAATCTTATTTAATTATGTCTTGTTTGGTTCTAATTAAAATTTATATTTTAATTCACGTTAAAATCAACAATGAATTTTAATCACATATATCAATAGACCCATAACTTTTCAACCACACACACTTAATCAACTTTTTATCAAATTCGCTAAAAATTTGATTTCACTTCCCACCAAACAGGGGCTGTAGACTTCATTATGCAACGGCCAATAGAAGATTTTAATGTTTAATCAAGAGTTGTATGTGTATTCTTTGCATTTTTAAGGAGAGTAATCGTTAACTTTCTATATAAGCTTATTATATCTATCAATTAATATGTTTGGGGTGAGCTAACGGACGAATTCCCATCATTTATTTATTTTTGTGATGTTATTTCTACATTTTTTAAAAATGCTTTAAAAATATTAAAACCAAAATTTAAGACTTCGGTACAATATTTTATGAAAAATGATTTATTTTGTAAAAAAAAATTTAAAATATAAAAAAATTTGAAAATGATTTAAATTATTAAAATAAAATATCAACGGTACTCAACAATACATTCTTACAATATTAGCAAAAGCCTAAATTTTGCTTTCCTTTAATATTTATTAGATCCTTGGTTTGGTAGCGAAGCCAGACATCCTTTAATGTGGATCAAAAATTAAGTTGCAAAACATTTAGCAACATAACATTAACAAAAATAATTAAATACATTATTATAAATATTGTTTAGAGAAAATTGCAATAGCGGTCCCTAACCTTTTCAATTTTTACAGACTTTTACCTTCACCTTCAATTTGTATCAACGAGCATCCCCAACCTTTCAAAAATATACAGCTAGGGTCCAAATCGTTTGACCGTTAGTTGACAAAAAAATTCGATTT